TCCCAGAGTTTGATCAAATTCATGTTGGTCGCTTCGATGACACTGTCCAATCCTGTGGCTCCCTGTTGTGACTCTATCATTCTCAAACTCCAGCCCTACTCCAGCCATATGCAATGCTTTGTAATCCGTTCCTTCTGCATCCCCACCCCCCATCCTGGCTCTCTCTTTGCATTGCAAATGTCTTACCAAAAGACCAGTTTTTTTGCTAGCAATCCCTCTGCTTGGCAAACAAGCTCTTTCCCGCCTGGGGAGCGGCAGCAAAGGATTCAGCAGCTCTTCAGCCTGTTGTTCTTGGCTGTGGTTAAAGGGGCAGCTTTCCCCACCCAGTGGGTGGGAGGGGAAGGGCTTAGGGAGTCAGGCGTCCTCTGTGAAAAGAGAGAGAATTGATCATGCTTGCAGGAGGACTATGTAGATGATGGTTAGTCTGCTGCTGTACGGAGACTTTTCTTTTGGGTTGGGAGGAGTGTGTGTCTTGGGCACCAGCTTCTGGAGAATGGTATGCTTTAGAGGTTCTGTTTGGGGGCACGGTGTGTCTCCTTCTCAAGGGCTGGTGTTTCAGTTTTGTGATGTCAGTCATGAATTAGTGGACCATCACATATGAATTTATGCTTTATTTGTTTTCTTTTTCCTTTCCTCCTAGGAGCCTCCAAAGTCTACTAAAAACACTACAAAAGCCAGCAGTGGTAGTAGCAGCAGCAGCAGCAGCACTGGTACCAGCGGGAAAGATGGCGGCACAGAGAATTCAGACGAGGTCGGGCATTTATTCTGTGAAGCATTAAGTCCTTTTCTGAATGATGTAGAGTCCCTAGCAGACTGGCTTGGTTTTAAATTCAATCTGAATATTACACTTCTTGAAAGTGACTTTAAAGGGTGCAATCCTGTATACATTTGCTGGAGTGTAAGTCCGATTGAACACAATGACATTTGCTTCCAGGTCGACAACTGCATAAGATTCTACTGTGAAACACTTAGTTAAAGTTTCTATCTTTGCGCAGGAAGGAACAGCATCTTGCCTATGTATTGTTGCTTTCAAAAAGAACACACTCTGTGTGTTTGTGTGTGTTTCTGTAGGTGTGCGCACGTATAGCAGGCAGGCGTACAGATCCAGCTAGTGGGCTAAAAGATGACATGTGCTATGGTTTAAAATTGTCAGAATCCCCATTGCTAACATTTGAATTAGATAACACATGTAAGATGGGTGACTGAAGACCAGAGAGGTCTGTATCTGGTTCTATAGACCATATTTCAAATGTCCCTAAGGAAGCTCCGGTGTGGATGAGGCATTGAAAAATCCCCATGTTCTAGGGCTCTCCAGAGTTATTTCATGTCCTGCTTCTGGTGTAGTAATTTGTTGCAAGTTTCAGGAATTAATTTTGGTGCTGGGAATAGGGGTGGAATTAGTAAAGGGAAGGTTTAAGTAAACAGGAGAAATTAAAGTCTTGAAAATACTGAAGTAATGCGAGTCATTCTATTATATGCTTGTTTAGTAAGTATGGTGTCTAAGAGACTAAAATATGAAAGTTGAGTCTCGCTTTGATGGTGAAACTTTAAAGTGACTTCCAAGTAAGTTCCTCAGCTCCTAGAGCATCACCCATCCCCTATTTGCAACTTGGAGAAAGTCATACAGACCTATTATGCAGTGCTAAATATTATAGTGAGCTAATGTGCTGAAATATTCGGGATGCTTTGAAACAGTATGTAAATGTTGCTGATTATTTATGTGGTTTGTATTAGGAGCAGTAATTGCGATTATTTCCTAAGCTTCTTCACATCAAAAGGTGAGGCGTCTTAAGTAAATGGGACAGAGATTAAGACCAAAACATTGAGGGAAGTAAATGGAGCATGTATGTAGCCTGCAAAGTTGAAGCCACCGAAAGCCCATTGGCGCACAGTATTAATGGCAGAGGAATCTATGGGAGTGATGTATGTTTCAGTAGAGGGCATTAATGGAGTCGTCTGTGGCATAGAAGAATAACCCATTGTAGATTGTTGCAGAAAATGCACAGGAATGGCAAAGTTTCAGATTGCATCAGCTGCGGCTTCTAAAGCTTTAAAAAAAAGGGAAGGGAAAAAGAAATACAAAGCCTATATCTTTATCTATCAAAAAAGAAGCATTTGAAGTAAAACAATAATAAGGTTAAAAACAGCAGTGGGACTGCAGGATATATATATAGTCTGTCTGTTTGATATAGACTAATAATTGAGTTTAGACCAGGGAGACTTACTTCAAATTGGCCTCTATATCATATTGTCAGTGGTCACTTGCAGACATGATAAGAAATGTTTCAGGCGCATTGTTCTTTGGTTCTTTAAAAAAGTATGGAATTTGATATCTTTACTAAAACCTGAGAATTTTACCTTTTTCTCAGTTCTCTGTAGGGCAGGCATCTAAAAAAAGTGAATGATAAGTTCCAAAGAATGGAAGTTTATTATTTGAGCATATGCACTTTTTGCTTGCTGCACCTCTGGAAGAGATCTGCTTTGTGTCTTTAGACTGAGATGGTTGATTCAGTGATTTAATTTAAAATATTTTTATCTCGTCTTTGTCCTTTAAAAGGACCCAAAATGGCTTCCATCATTAAAATATAGCATTTAAAGCTAAAAAGAGTAAGTTAACAAGGTCCTTTAAAAGGACCCAAGATGGCTTCCATCGTTAAACTATAGTATTTAAAGTTAAAAAGAATAAGTTAACAAATACTAGAAGGGATCAAGCAAATACCACACTCAGAAATGGTAAACTAAAGCAAGACCAAAAATACATTCAAAGCAGTAAGGTACAACAATATATTTAAAAATCCCACTCAGGCAGCAATGCACTTGCTTGAAGTGAAGGGTCTTCGCCTGCTTATTGAGACTTCCAATGTTATGACCTTCCTTCAGAACAATTTAATAAGATTTTGCATTTGAAATGAAATCTTTCTTTCCTTTTTTATTCATATCAGAGCAGTGCACAATTTAAAATTGTGGGAGTACTGTATATAAAATATACAGTAAAATTACATGAGAAATGTATTGTCATTTGTGGTCCTAAAAAGGGCTGTTGGGTTATTTTATGCATCAGCAAAGAGTAAGTTAACAAGTACTAGAAGGGATCAAGCAAATACCACACTAAGAAATGGTCAACAAAAGCAACACCAAAAATACATTCAAAGCAGTAAGGTACAACAATATATTTAAAAATCCCACTCAGGCAGCAAGGCACTTCCTTGAAGTGAAGGGTCTTCGCCTGCTTATTGAGATTTCCAATGTTATGACCTTCCTTCAGAACAATTTAATAAGATTTTGCATCTGAAACGAAATCTTTCTTTCTTTCCTTTTTTATTCATATCAGAGCAGTGCACAATTTAAAATTGTGGGAGTACTGTATATAAAATATACAGTAAAATTACATGAGAAATGTATTGTCATTTGTGGTCCTCAAAAGGGCTGTTGGGTCATTTTATTCATCAGCAAGTTTGCAGTACAATGCTTCTGGGAGTGAAGGATTGGTTGGCTGCATATCTTTGCCCCGGGGGGCAGCCAGGTGTACTCACAATGCATATCCACTCTTCAGGGAGGCTCTTTCTATGAAATAATCACAAATATGAGAAGACATTTAGGAAGGTCACTTGGTGTACGTTGGGCTTCCAAGGAGAAAGAGAAACACTTGCTTCTGGATTGTTTAGGATGGAATTTTAGATTCCTCTTGATAATTACCAATGCAAAGCAGTAAGGTACAACCCTGGAATAGCTGAAGGGTTCCCTGTTTGCTCCATAACAATATTGGTCAAGGCTGGGCAAGCTTCTGTGTTGTGGAGGCTCCTTTCCCATCCCCAAGACACACTGTGGGCTGTATGAAGCCCAAACTATGAAACAGAAATTCAAAAAGAAAGCCAGAATTGTCTGGAAGTCCAGTGCTAGTTCAATAAAAATGCTTTCTTAATGTTAAATATGTAGAAAGATGCAACCTGTTTAAAAGGGGAACCATGGCTCCTGGAGATTACCATTTTTTAAAAAGAAAAACTTTGATAATGTTGGGGTATAAAGCTCTTTGTAGCTTGTGGGCCTTGTGACTCACGCTTTGTGGAGGCAAAAGGTTTTCCTTTCCCAATTTTGAATTGCAGTGGTCATAAGCACCAGCTTTTTCAAAGTCATATTCCTTTGTTCTTAGTGATTAAGTCCACCAAGGGTATTGCGGGAAGCAAAGCATTCTAATTTTTGCGGTCATAAAAGCAGTTGTTGAAGGGATGGAGAATCTGTGACCTTAAGGTCACACAGTCTTTGGAATGATTTAGAAAGGTTTCTGTAAATGATCAGTTCCAAGCTCTGGAAAGATGGAGCAAATCCCTACCCCTGGAGCTGAGAGAGAGAGAGAGAGTGTATGAATGGCGGAGAAAGGAAGACATGACTCCCACCAGGCTTTGGCCACATCCACTTGGGAGCATGTTGTTGTTTAGTCATGTCTGACTCTTCGTGACCCCATGGACCAGAGCACACCAGGCCCTCTTGTCTTCCACTGCCTCCCGGAGTTGGGTCAAATTCATGTTGGTAGCTTTGATGACACTGTCCAAACATCTCATCCTCTGTCAGCCCCTTCTCCTCTTGCCCTCATACTTTCCCAACATCAGGCTCGTTTCCAGGGAGTCTTCTCTTCTTATGAGATGGCCACATTTTGGAGCCTCAGCTTCAGGATCTGTCCTTCCAGTGAGCATTCAGGGTTGATTTCCTTCAGAATGGATAGGTTTGTTCTCTTTGCAGTCCAGGGGACTCTCGAGAGTCTCCTCCAGCACCACAATTCAAAAGCATCAATTATTCGGTAGTCAGCCTTCTGGGAGCATAGGGTGCCTTAAAAGAGTGCTTTTGCAGGAATGGGATTTTTGATGAAGAAAAAACACACACCCCTGTTTTTTAGATTTGAGATTTAGATAGGGTGGAACAGAGAGAAATGCAGAACAAAATGCCAGTGATGTTTTAAAGACTTCTGAACTTTGGAGGATGTGTTTTACAAGCTGCGTGAACAGTTTATTCTCAGATGCTATATTTATCATACAGAAAAAAAGATGAAGAGTGAAGCCAAGCCCCTGAGAAATAAATTAGCCATCACGATGCCACAAGATTTTAAGTTTTTGCAGGGGTTGAAAATAGTAGCAGCACTGCCACCTAGGTTTGCTGTCAGTACTGCTATGATTATCATTGCTATCGTCATGGTTAGCATCATCAGCGTCATCATGATTATGTGATATGATTATAGTACATTTGCCAAACTCGCCCTATTGCCAGAAATCTTCACATATTTTTTAAACACAGTTTTGATTGATGATCACTTTAATATCTGATGTGACAGCTGGCTAAAACTAGCATTGAAAGTTTCTGAGAATAGAGGTGTGCGTGAGGGACAATTTGCTGACTTTGGACTAAGGAGTTAATTTCATTTGGAAAACTATTAGAAAGAATTAATGTTGGCATCCATTAGGAAACCTTCAGTTTTTGAAACCAAATGGGAAAAGTGTTTCCTAGGTGCATCCAATTAATTGTTCAGAAATCATCCCTGGAGTTTGTGAAATGGAAAACAAAATCAGAACAATTTTTTTTACCTGGGAATTTTTCCAGATATTCGTTCAACAGGGAAAAGAAAATATGCAAATTAATGAACAAGTCGTGTCAATTAGCAACTTGTTCTTTGGACTAAAAGTAACTAGGTTAGTGAATATGTTGAAGATGCTGAGAAAATGTCTGTTTTATGTTAGAAAGAGACGTGCAGTCATTTGCAGG